GAAACATTAACCTCCTCATTAGTGTCTTGCAGACTCGGAGAGGGATTTCGTAGCTCAAGCGGGAGAGTCCGAGGACGATACTGAGTCGGAAGGCTTGTCCTAGATAGTGAGGCGGAGGTTGTTCGTTGAGAGGGACTACCACCACTGGTCCCTACGTCGTTTGATGCAGAAGCACCAGCATCGCCTCCAGTGCCACTACCACCTTCACAGAGGATGGCTTTGCGTTTGGAGCGATCACCACCTCCACTGTTGACGGGTGAAGCGGCTTGGTGCTTCGAGCCAACACTCCCTGAGTTTGGAACTCCGACGGTTCCTCCTCCCTGAGCACCGACGGTTCCTCTTCCACGAGAACCGATACCTCCTCTTCCACGAGAACCGAGGGCTCCTCCTCGACGAGAAACGACGGTTCCTCCTCCACCATTTCCGACGGTTTCTCTTCCAGGAGCACCGACGACTCCTCTTCCACGACCACTGACGGTCCGTGAACCCCCAGAGCCGTCAGATATTGCGACGGCCTTTCCTTTTCGACGAGCGACAGATGTCTCTCCTCCACCACCAGATCCGTCGGTTCCTCTACCAGGAGCACCGGTGGCTCCTCTTCTACCACCACCGTTGGTCTCGGCGGCCTTACCTTTATTCCTAACAGCCATGTGTTTACACATCGCGATTGAAAGGAATGAAGAGTCGCGATKAAGAACAMAATTTAGYGTTTGGAGAAAAAGAAGAGAAATCGAACCGATTTGGTTCGATTAACAGAGAATGAGACGATGTGAATGGAAAAGAGAGAGAAAAGAGAAGAAGGAGGCGATTTGATCGGAAGAAATGGAGAAAAACGACGGTGAGGCGATTTTTATCGCCGTCGATTCGAGACAGAATTGAAAAGATTTTGTGATTAAAATGAAATTAGGTTTCGGCGTTTGACAATATGTATAACATAGGCGTGGCTAATCCATCGCAAAAGCGTCACAACTTAAGTTTTGGAAGGAATTTTAGGCGCCCAAAAGCCCAAAATATTTCGCCAAATGGCCCAAATGTTTCGAAACCCAAACATAAAAAGGGTCACAAAAGTGTCACAACAACAATTCCGTGACAATAAAGTTACTCAACCGTCGCAACTTTGCGACTATTTTCTCACTCCCGTAGTAGTCACAACTCGAAACCCTAAACATTTAAACTCATATTTGTGTGCCAAATCCCTTCCCAATCTCTTTTTCATATACCTGTGATCWTATTGGTAAGTYTATTGAGTGATKTTTAACTTGTAAAGTACATTTTCATCAAAACCCTAATGATTTGAAAATGTAAGATTGAAAGTTCATGAAACATTGTGAGATGTTTATGACCAAAGTAGTGTAAGCATTGTGAGATTTTTGTAAATTTTGAAATTTTAAAATTTCAAATGTCCTAATGGTAAAGGTAATGTTCCTACTTTAATTTATAATACGCAAACTTTGTAATTTTCTATAAATTCATATCGAGGGTTGCTAAATCGTGGGAATATAGTCACAAATGTATAACGACATTGTGAAGACTCTATATGCGTCACAAAATTGTGACCACTCTGTCACAAACATAAAAAGATTAAAATAAAATCTGCCTTTTCTTCCCTTAAAACGTCGTCGTTTAGAAAAACATTTTCTCCTAATGGTAAATATAATGTTCGTAATTTATATTTATCAATTTACTTTCYGAAAAGTTTACCTTTTAATACTCAAACTTTGTAATTTTCTATAAATTCATAGCTAGGYTTGCTAAACTGTCTGAATATAGTCACAAATGTATAACGAATTTGTGACGACTCGATATTTGTCACAAAATTGTGACCTCAGTGACGAACATTAAAAAAATTTAAAATGATCGGCATTTTGTTCGAACCCCAGACCGGTTACCATATAGCAAGGGATGTTCCATCGTGCTATGTTGTATAATCTGTCATCTAATTCGTAACGTTTTGATATAAACTAATTTGGAGAGTAAATTAAAAAATGTGTGTGCAAATGGACCAGCTAGGATTCGAACCCAAGTCTGAGGGATTTAATAATGATGRGTTGCCACTGGGCTGTTGTAACTAATCGTTGTATTCCCACATTGTTTTTTATGTATTGGTAAACACAGTTTTATAACTAATAATGTACTTAAATAGATGGAAAAGAAGGAAATTTAAACTTTAAAATTATTCAAACAAATCGTTGTTAATCAAACATATTACAAATATTTTACAAACATATTACAAATATTTTACAAAATCATTCCAGCATATAATTTAACATTCTTCATAATCA